CCTAATTTTACATTAGCTAAGTGTTACCTGAATTGTATCTTCACTAAATTATGATCAGAGTCCCAACGGGACCCTCGAGCAGCTCTGACATCAACGATCGAAGAGGAATATCGCTTATTTATAAGAACATGATCAATTTGGGCCCTAAGAGCCATCGGGTGCCTTCCATGTTTCAAGGTAAATTTTTTTATAAGGAAAGCAAGTGCTTTTTATTATCATGTTATTTGCTTCAGCAAACTGGCATAAATGATTACCATTATCATTTTTTTCTTCGTGAAGCGAGTGGATTCCAGCGATACTTTTTCGTAAAGCTTTCTTTTCCAACTTGGGCATTCAGGTCATCCATGATAATTTTTCTATCATATTTAGAGCTAACTTGAAGGGCTCTTTCTAATTGTTGATAGAAAGCTAGTTTATCGTCATCATCACTCTCGTTTATTGGAGCATAGGCTGATATTAATGTTGCATTTCTGAATCTTCCTTTAAGGTGAATTCTATTGGTCTAATAGATTCAAACAACAAAAGGCTACCCTTAACTGTCTTAGACAGCATAAAACCAGTTCCTCTATGTCCAATTTTCTTTGCTCCACCATATAGCAACGAATATTCCTTCTTATCTACTTCAGGCATCTTGTTCCAAGTAGCAAAAACCAGATCCAAGTTCCTTTTTCCGTTTACTATTGTTTCCATCCTTTTCCTCATTGTTGGTTTTCGGAACTATAGATTTTTTTACAAGGCAGGCTTGTTGGCTCTGTGCTCAACCACCAACCTGAGGGATCAGGTCATTTTTTATCGAGGTTTCCGTTCCTTAGTCTGGTTGCTTTCACCTGAGCTGAGAGCCTAAATCACCCTGGTTTTATATCGGAGTTCACCTCTCCTAGCCTTTGGGGTCCCCTCCCAAACCGTCCAAGGCAGTACGAGGTAGTGCATATTTGATGGTGGCACTTACCGTGCTGCACCGACGTCATTGGATTCATGTGGACCTTGTTGGTAATGTTCCCGCCATAGGAGCATTTCCCCACACTGCCACCTCGATCCGGGACTGCTTATATCGGAAAACAACCTTTATTTGCAGCCACCCACCATATCTGATGGGCTTCACTATCCATCACCTGTGATCCACCCAGTAGCTGAGGCTCCCACTAGGACTTTTTTAAATATTCATGAAAATAACTTGTTCTTTATTAAAGTATATTTCCATGGATAAATTATTTCAAAATATTTATTAAAAATTATAATATAGTAATTTTGTCAATCTAGAATTAAATGGAATACATGATATTACTTTTAACTTAGAAATTTTATTTTTGATTAGTCTATTGAATGTAGAGATTAGTAGAAAGTGAGACTTTTTACAGAATTCTATGTATTGCTGTTAAGGTTTTGCTTATTGTAATATTGCTACAAGAACCAGGGTCTCTCTTGTTATTCTTATCCAATCTCCTCTATCTCCGAATTCTCATCGTTTTTAGGATGTCTCCCACCTCATCCAGCCATCTCAGATGTGGTCTTCCTGTGGCACATGTTCCACTAGGTTGATCTTCCAGCAGAAGTTAGGGAATTGAATCCGTGGACATACGTCTCACATGACCCAACCATCTGATTTGGTTACTCCTTATGCAGCCTTGCATAGATCCTGCTCTTTATTAATGTGAATTCTAAACTGCCCTTGTTCACACACCATAGATCCTACAGAGAACCGTTCTCTCCCATGGGAGTAGCTTCCTTTCTGAGGCCTTAGAGATTATCCAAGTCTCAGAACCATCGGTGACGACGGGTCTTATGACTTTCTCGTGCATTGTTATTTTTGTCCTATGAGAGAGGGAGTTATAATTTAGTAATTTTCTCATAACAAAACAGTATCAATTCCCAGCAGCCATTCTTGCTTTCAGTTCTTCCATCATATCATTAATTTCTGTAATTAGATTACCTCAATACTTTAAGGTTTCTACTGCTTTCAGGATCTGATAATCAAGTAACACATCTCTCTGTTCCACCCGGTGTTCTTGAAGTTTGTATTAACAGTCTTCTTCTCATTTATTTTAGTTCTCTTTCTGCTATTTCTAATTCTTCAAGAGTCCCTAGTAATGCTGTTTTATTTCTTGCCATTATTGCATCATCAGCACAAACTAGATGCTGTGTCATCCTATATAAATAATGCCTCCAGGACATGTCCGAATGTCTTTTTTTTTCCTCCTTATTGTATGCTCTAAAGCAATATTGAATAGAGTAGGGGATAAAGGATCACCTTGCCTAAGCCCATCTCTTAACTCCGAATCCTCGGGCAACATACCATTAATCTCAACTAGGGATCTGCTGCCGTTTAGGGTTATTCTTGTCAAAGTGACTAGTTTTTTGGGAGTACCAATTTTATCATTGCCTTCAATAATTCTTTCCTGTTTATACTATCACATGCCTGTTTAAAATCTATAAAAATGTTATGTAAATCTATTTGGTACTCACATGTTTTTTCCAACATTTGTCTTATAGAGAAAATGTGGTCTATAGTTGATTTATCTGGTCTAAAACCATACTAGTATTTATCTAAAATCTTTTTGGAGCAAAACAAAATTTTTTTTTAAACAGAATTGTAAAAATTTTGTATAACATATTTGTTTTTTCTCATTATTATTTGTTAATACATTCATTATTATCAAAAAATAGATAAATATGAACTATCAAGTAATTTGATAATTAACTAATGGAGAAAAAAGGAGATCTTTTTTTCCAGGTTGAAATAAAATTTTCAGAAAGTTGGGTAGTTATATATATATATATATCATAGGAAAATAATAGATGAAGTTGTAGAAAGTAAAGGATTTGATGAAAAATTGAAGACTGATAATTTCGGCTATTTAATGGAAGGTAGTTGACTGTACTATATATCACAGGAAATAAATAATCAGGAAGCAGTCATTTTTGAGATTTTTTAATTGTTGCCAAAGTTTCAAACCAAACATGTGGGTCATCATCAGGGCTGAAACAATTTTTTTAATAACATCAGAGATATAATTCATAAAAAAACAGATAATAGTAGTGGTAAATAGTAATGGGTGATACATGAGATACCAAGTGAATACTTAATACCAAGTTATACAGACTATAAAATAATGAACATAATCAACTTACAAAATGTGATATTTAATATTACTAACCATGTTTGCAGAACTGAAGGTGTTCAAGTACTGGCATCTAGGTAGTAGGTAAGTGGGAGGGTCCGTGGAGGAATTTTCCCAGATGTGCTTTTAAGATAACAAACTTAGGGACAACAATATTTAGAGGGTTCCTGTAACATTATTGCTTATGGAATACAATTCTATGGATAAATAAAATATTTATGTTAACATCTATAAAATAGCTAAGTTATTTCTTATCTTTAACAAATTATAACTATTAATTTCAAATGAAATGATAATAAATAAGAGAGAAGATATGACATTACAATATTTTAACAAATAATATTGTACATTGGTTGATAATTACCGTTTACAGTACAATCTATTATTATTAATAAACATGGTCCATAATACAATATATTATATAATATTTTTATGGTATCTTGTACTAATAACATAGACATAAATATAGATGTACTGGACTGTAATTATCAATCAATGTACTACATTATTTGACAAAATATTATAATGTCGTATGTCATATCTTCTCTCTTATTTATTATCATTTAATTAATTTAAAACCAATAGTTATAATTTGTTAACGTGAATTGATGTTAACATGAATATTTTATTTATTCATAGAATTGTATCACATAAGCCTTAAGCCCATAAGAATTTTTTTTCCCTTCTCTACCTTGCCTTTTTAGGCATATGGGGGTTTCCCAGGCCATTGGATGAGAGCAAGGAATTTAAAAGTCCCCTAGGTACCGGGACGGAATTTTATTGTCTCCAACTTTGGTTATCAGGTTGCCCCAGGCAACGCTCGGTGCTGTGCAAACCATTTGTTTTATGATGAATAACCAATTAATTTGTTCTGCGTTATAATGGGAGACTAACTTGAGCGAAATTACTCAACTAATTTATATTTTAACGTATTGATGTTGAGTTGCCTGAGGTATGTGTTGACGGTTGGCTTTATAATAAATCAAGAAGATGATCCAGTTGTCGACAAGAAGAAACATTAAATAACTGATAACCATTTAGTAAATAGAACTATTTCATTTAAAATAACTATTTAAAAGATGATGAGCATTTATTTGCTCTTTTTTTCTGATAGACTTCTGTTCTGTCCCCTTCTTAGTTAAAAAATGAAACCTTAAGAGATTATCCATGTGGGCGAAATACTTTAATCATTGAGCTATATCTATAAGTTTTCGTCCTTTTGTTAGAAATGCTATAAGATCAGAAAAAAAATATCAAATTCTGATATTATTTGTTGCATTACATGAAATAAAGTTTTCATTATTCCTGAAATATTCCTTCTTCAAAATGAATTTACAGAATCTATCCAAATTTTCTAAATATGTGGATATTGAACACGTGGAATTGCAAATACTTATATGACTTATAGGTGTTGAATCAGGTATAACAAATAACTTAACTGTTCAGTTCAGAGCTTATTGTTATCAGATATGCTTTTTGTGAATTAACTGGACTTGATATATATCGCTGCTTTATCTATTTGTTTCATTAATATTTGATTTTTTTTTTTTGTGCTTTATAATTGAAGTTTATTTATTTTATATTTCTTAGTGGATTAATAAATTCAATAACCACATAAATATTATTTGTATTTATCACATCAAATTTGTTTAAACTGATGCTTTAATTGTGTTTTTTGTTTTTGAAAAATAAGTTTTAAACCAGGTTTTTTGTTGCTAAATTCCTTGTTGTTGATTATTGCTTATGTATACTATATCAGGGAATGTGAGGACACATTTTTAAAAGGAAACAAAACAAACATATAATGTCCATCTATCTTAATAAGATGGGCGGAACATGTTTCTGTAATATATATGTTATGTTACTGTTGTTGTTGGTCAGGTTTGTAAATGGTGTAGTTCATGTGGTGGTGGAGGTAAATGTATCTCTGTTAATGGTGAATGTTCCAAAGAAGCGAAATGTGGCCCCGGAGAGTCCAATTCCTTCCAGTTCTGTCCGGAGCAGTCCTGCCCCGCTTCGGACTGTGAGAAATGTCAAACTATTTCTAATTGTATTTGGACGAGGTAATTATATATTTTTATCAATTTATTTTGTATATAGTTTTTGATTTGCAAATATTATTTTATCTATATTACTCTTATTGAAAGTGTTACTTAGAATTAAGCCTTATTCTATAGTTTTTGGATAAACTATTTTACTTATTTTCCAAATATTAAATCACCCCTTTTATTTATCACATTGCAGACAGGTCATGAAGACTGGAGATGAAGGTGGAGTTAAAATATCAGCAAACCCAGTTTATGACTGGAATTGTGTACCTCGGGGCATATCGGATAGATCTAGCTTAAAACTGCGGGCTGAAGGAAGTTGTCCGAAACGGTGCTCAGAGCTCAGGGATTGCCATTCATGTCTCCAGTCTCAGGTGAGAAAAATAACAATGAATCAATAGTAATATATAACAATGAATCATAATTAGCATTAGGAGAGAGAGGTGTGCTTTTCTGTTTTCTCATTATCTTTTCTTTCGAAATGCAGGGAGGAGAAGGAGACTGGCACGAATGTCGTTGGTCTACGCGCTTGTCTGAATGCATTTCACCAAGTTACCAGAACCTCGTCTGCGCGGGCAGCGTCTGCGGACTAGTCCTCTCCCGCGGCGCCCTCTGCCCTCAGCCATGTGCTGCCTTCGATCGTTGCTCCAATTGCCTCAAGCATGCACACTGTGGCTGGTGTGCTCTATCCAATCAACAAGGAGAGGTACTTTACAAAACACTTCTTGCAATATTTATCTCAATATGATAAGTTATATTTATAGAAAGCATCTGCTACTTTTCTGGTTATCAATTTTTCTTATGTAAGTGTATTTAATATACTTGACTGTACATATCTTTATTTCTTATTTCTTCAGGGTGTAGACCTTTTCGCAGATGGTCAGTATATGATACATATACGCCTTTTGGTCTTCAATAAATGGCGTTTTATTTCACTTAGTTTGCTAACCTTATATCCTCTACTCTTACTCCATGCAAGTTTGGACGCTGATCCGTCCGCTTGTATTCCTATATACTAATTCAGGAGAATGATCCCTCTGGTTGTGGTTACCATCCTTGTGGAGTGTTGAGGTTGATCCCTTACACTGCAGACCGAGAGTAATTGGGTGCTGATCCACCTGTTACTTGAGGTCATCCTTCTTATCGCCTTCCTTCATCCACTTAGTCATCTTACCCTTCTACACTGAACCGCCACTATCGAGGCCTTCTGGTAACTCCATACTTATCTGCACTATATACTTCGACAAAGTTAAGAAATTACCTCCAAACTCTGTGTCCAGTCCACATTTACCAGGAATATTCTGTGTTCGCTATATTTAAATTTTTCTTCGCTTAACTGACTCTGCTCATTATTAGTTGATGAAATAACCCCATAAAAATAATACCATGCTCAATATATATCATCCTCAATCCTAATTTAGAATTGATGTTGTTTTTAGGGAGTTTGCTCCGAAGGTTCACTTGATTCTCCTATATCTGGCCCGGAGACTGACACATGCGAAGGCTTGTACTCTCTCAAACCTAACAAGAGCAATGACACTACTGGTGGCTTTACATGGCACTATGTTTCTTGCCCTCCTGAAGATGAATGTGCTGCAAATAGGCATTCTTGTGACCCAGTTTCTGAAACTTGTATTGATCAAGAAGATGGTTACAAATGTATTTGTGCTAAAGGTTAGTCAGACATTTTAAATTTTATTTTATCTTTTAAATAAATAATATTTAAAACCCACCAGAAATTTTTGTAAAACCAAGCACATCAATTTTTTATGAAAATACTATCGGATTTGATAATATGCAACTGCGCATCAAGTTTTTGTAACTTTTCAGAAAGTATTGTCATAAAAAGCACCCCTTTACAACTCTAATATCCATTAAATCGTAAAGATTACAAAAACGTGATGCGCAGTTGCAGAATTTAAATCCAACTATATTTTCATAAAAAAATTACAGTGTTTTTCATTTCACAGAAATTATTTTAAAAAATGTATAAATATTAATATAAAAAAAAAATGCTATAAATACATAATGGTGGACCCTAATATCTATGAAATCTGAAAAGTTACAAAAACCTGATGCGCGGTTGCAAATTCTCAAATCCGACAGTATTTTCATAAAAAGTGACCCCGACAAAATAATAGTAGACCCCAATATTGATTAAATCCCAAAAGTTACAAAAACTTGATACCCGTTTGTGCTTTCTCAAATCCGACTGTATTTTCTTTAAAAATGCTCCCGACAACATATTAGTGGATCCTAATAGCAATTAAATCAGAAAAGTTACTAAAAACTTGGTCCGCAGTTGTGGATTCTCAAGTCTGACTGTAACAGTGGATCTAAATATGGAAGAAATCCTAATTATTTTAATAAGTTGATAATTTATTGATTTACATTAAATATTGATCATATTTTTAAAAATTATAACCTCCGTAACATAAGAATGGACTTATTTATTGAAGAAATATGAAATATTCTACTCCTTTAATTTGTTGAATGAAGTACACGATTACTTTGAAAAGTGCTCAAACTAAAATAATTCTGAGTAATTGTAAAAACGGAAAGTACTCACGGGAACAGCTGAAAAGTTTTTTTACTCGCCAATCCTCAAGTAAAGTAGCGATTAAAGTACTCAATATTCGAACTGCTCAAGGAGTTAAGTAAAATACTTTGTAATTTGTACTTTCTACTCAGAGTAATTTTTTCCCATCTCTAAAATATAGTATATTTACATCTATATAGTATAGTATATCTATATAGTAAAGTATAGTACATCTATGTACTTTCAGAATAATAAAACGCTAGTGCTGAATTTTTTTCTACTTTAAAGCCATATCTAAAATATAGTATATTTACATCTATGTACTTTTAGAATAATAAAACGCTATTACTGAATTTTTTTCTACTTTAAAGCTATCTTCTTCAAATCTTTAATTTCAATTTGGCAGGTTACAGCGACCAGGGAGGTGACTGCGTTCCTGTGTGTAGCCAGGGTTGCGTTAGGGGCCGTTGTACCGCCCCAGATACTTGTAAATGTGACTTTGGCTACGTCGGTTCAAACTGTTCAATACAGTGCTTGTGTAATGGGCACTCGGACTGCCTCGGTCCTGATAAGCTGGATGAATGCCTCGATTGCAAGAACAACACGCAGGGTCCTCAGTGCTCACGTTGCAAACCACTGTTTGTTGGAGACCCAACGGACGGAGACTGCGTACCATGTTGGGACTATTGCAATGGCCATACAGACATATGTGCCAACGAAACAGTACCTGAACACGTATTAAGAAACAAAACCATAGCTGAACTTGAAGAAATTTTAATAGAAGGTCCTACTACCAAAGCCAAGTAATTATATTTTTAGTTATCATGCTATTAATTTGCTTTTTATTGTTAATTACTTACTTTCTTAATATTAGGTATCAATATTTGTTTAAATTGTTTTTAGCTCTGATTTAAACATAAATCGCTAGCTTGGTTCCATAAAGTTCTACCTGACATTTTTGGACAAAATGAGATTATTTGTGGTTATGACTCACCTTTGTCTATTGCACAAGAAGAACTAACTTTTTATGTGATTGGTTGAGAAATAGCCAAACTGCTAATGTCTAATGTGATGTGGCAAGGTTCTAACTGCATGCAACTTTTTATTTAGTTTGGTTTGACAAGGTTCAATATACAATTGGTTAGTTTGTGGTACAGATTCTTTTTTACTAATTTATTAATATCTGGCTGAAACTTCGTAAGTAGCTTTATCTCATCGTAACCTACAAATATTTTACTTACTAAAATTTTCGGGATTGGGTTATTTTCAATCTGGAAGTCGCCAAACTTAGTCTATTTAATTAGTTAGTTTGCTTTCCACTTTGATCGTAAGATAATTTCATCACAAAACCGATAAAAAAAGTGGCTTACAAAAATATTGGGCTGTTTGGCCTATATAATCTTGTTATTTTGACAATTTAGGGGTGTAGGTCACGACAAACGACTCAATAATTTTGAAGGCCACTTTTTCCCTGACTTTGTGCTCAAGTTATCTTACGATTCAAGTGGAATATATGTGGGTATTCACGAGTACCTAATTTAATAAAGAAAGTGGTACTTGTTTAGTAACCGGTCCGGATAGACTGCTATCTGCCAATGTTTATAACCTGAACACTGATAATCCCTATCTTCTTTTTCATATTTATTGTATTATATTCATATTATTGAAATTGTAAACAAAAACAAATGTAAATAATAACAAAACAGTTCGATTTTAAATTGAAATAGACAAAAGGAAATAAATAATTTCCATAACAATAAGAAAACACTTTCATTTTACAACAATTATATGAAATTGATAAAAATAAATGTAATAATAAAAAAAAAATGAAATAATAAAAGAACACTTAAACAACATATGTACATATGAAAGAAACACTATAAACAACTTACCTAAGTCAGAATAAATGTTGATTCCCTCTTGTATATTGTTTTTTATATATTATAATAAAGTTGTTGGCTTTCTGTCGTTTATTTTGACGATGAAAAACTCGTCTGTTTCTCGGCAAACTCTGCCAGACATCAGTTGTTCTGGTAGAACTCTCTCTACATGATTTTTTGTTTTAGAAAAAAGACTCGTCTATTTCGACGACTGCCAGGCCCTCCAATTTTTTTACTTGACCTGTATAATATGTTATAGGCACAAACCTCTCTTAAATATTTGTTCCACATTATCATAGTTGTATTGGATAGTTTCGCCTGCTCTTTGCCCCATTGCATAGTTGTTAAATTATGGGACCATCCATAAATTAATTTTAAAGCCATTAAAAAATGAATCCTCAACCTTCCTAACCATGTTCCTTTCCTTATAGAAACGTTTTTGTTACAAGTGGTACGAAACCATCTCCATTTCGTCTTCCCGTCTAACTTCATTTCATGACCTTCTTCACACAATTTCATGTTTGAAATTATTCCAGCATTTTTAAAATATTTGATAGCCTCTTCTTCTGAAGATGGCAATTCCCACAATGTAATAACATCCATAATTTGAAGAAAATAACACAAATGGGACAAAAATAAACAATGGAATAATTGACAGCCTACACGAGATAAGAAGGAAGGTTATGTGCATAACATTAGATAACAAGGGAGGTTTCATCTCGACCGGCTACTAGACATGTATCAACAAATTTTTCTGACCTCCAGATTGAAAACGTCCCAATTCTGAGAATTTTTGTAAATAAAATATTGGTAGGTTGCGATGAGATGAAGCTATTTACTATGTTTTAGCCGGATGTTAATAATTTGTAAAAAAGGGGTCTGTACCACGGACTATATCCTGTGTAGTCATTTCTAATGGAAATAACAAGTTCTCATAATTTATGTTTTTTAAAGTGGTAATTAGGAATTTTAATGTTGAGCATGCGACTATAAAATTTCAACTGTCGCTCGCTTCAAAAAAGAATAGTCAAACAAAAAAAACATAAGACAGACTCGTAGATCATTTACTTTTGTTTGACTTTACAAAGTGAATATTGTAAGCTCTACTCCAAGAATATAACAATTTATGCAAGATTTCCAAGTAATATGCAATAAATATATTTTTAAAAATATATGTATATTTTGTTTTCATTTTTATGCTTATCGAAAAAAATCAAAGTAAGTAGACCCAGGGTGGCGGTCATAAAGAGCTCTTTATGTCCACCACCCCGGACCATCTCCTTCCTCTAGAATATCTACATACTTTGATTTTTTATGATGAGCATAAAAATGAAAAAAATATACATATATTTTTTAAAATAAAGAGCTCTTTATGACCACCACCCCGACCCATGTCCTTCCTCTAAAATATCTTCATACTTTATTTTTTTATGATGAGCATAAAAATGAAAACAATATACATATATTTTTTAAAATAAAGAGCTCTTTATGACCACCACCCCGACCCATGTCCTTCCTCTAGAATATCTACATACTTTGATTTTTTATGATGAGCATAAAAATGAAAACAATATACATTTATTTTTTAAAATAAAGAACTCTTTATGACCGCCACCCCGGACCATGTCCTTCCTCTAGAATATACAACGGTCATCCATTAAGTATTCATCCATTAAGTAAGTAGATATTCATTGTTGTAATCTAAAAAATATTCATCAGCAGATATCCCTTCACCGATATCCCTTTATGGTCTTTATTTGATTTTATTCTTAATGAGCATATGCTTGCCCTGTATGAATAAAAAATACATTTTACTAAAATGTAAAGAATTTAATCTTGAATAAATTGAGTTAGATCATAAAAAGAATAATTTTTTGTGTTTTTTTTTTCCACCTAATTTGAGGAGACAAATTTTAAATTCGCAAAGAGTATAGGGGTGGTATAACATAAATAAATAAATTTTCTAAGCTTTCCAAGTAAGTGCTTTCCAGCTACCCTACTAACAGCTTCTTCTTTGCCTATTTTGGCATTGAAATCAACCAAAAGAATGATTGCATCATACTTAGGCACATTTTCCCAGTATCTCATAGGATTCTTCCGTTGTGGTATAAACAGAAAAAACAGTTATATTCCTGAATCGTCCCTTCAATCTAATGCTGCATAGTCTATCGCTGACTAGCTCAAAAAAAAGCAGAGCTTTTCTTATTTTTTCATCAATGTAGAATGCAGTACCTGCTTGTCCAGTTCTTTTAATGGGTCCACTGTAGAGCAATGAAAATTCCTTCCTATCAATTTTACCACTCCCACTCCATCTCACCTCCTGCAGAGCAGCTATGTCGATACTGTAACTCACAAATAACTTACTGTAACTCATAAACAACCTAATAACTTCGTCAGCAATTTCATTTTTGTTCGAGATTACCCTCCGCTAGGACAGTTGCTTTCACCACAGCTCAAGAGCCTGTTCTACCCTTGGTTTTGCATCAGAGTTTTCCGTCTCCTATCCTTTGAGGATCCAACCCCTTGCATGCAAGGAAGCATGGGGCAGTGCTCTTTAAATGGAGGCACACAGCAACGTCTTCGGGCCTCTGTGGTATTTATTGGTAATGGTCCTGCCACATGAACATTCCCCCATGCCCTGATGTTGCTGCCGCCTTGGTCCAGGACTGCTTATTTCGGAAAAAACCTTTATTCGCAGCCACCCACGATATCTGATGGGCTTCACTATCGGCCACCTGTGACCCGCCCAGTAGCTGAGGCTGGCTCTGGGTTTCGCCTAATAACTTAAGAAAAAAAATCGAGAAGTTATTGAAATGATGTTATTTATTCAGATGAGAACAAATTTAATATTGATAGTGTGGAGGAATTTGAGGTAATAGTGAGCAACAATGAAAGGTAGAGCCTGGAGTGTTGTTGTAAGGGTACACATGCCTGCTTTGGGCTCGACGATGATAGAGTAATGGAGAAGTATAGATTTAGATTAATCAAAAAGAAATTTAAGGGCTGGAATTAGTAAAAATGGGTATAGAAGGGACATTTTACCAGGATAGTAACCCTTATCCTGAAACTCTTCACACACTGGAGTGGCTGCTATATAATTATAGAATTGAACACGAAACTCCTCTCCACAATCTAGATTTGAATCCCAACATTTATGGGCTTATGCTGGTTCACAGCTCGGAAATCAAAATATAACATCAATAAAATATCTTAAAACTGAATAGTTTGAAAAATAGGGGAAAATACCCGCCAATTGACTTCAAAGTTGATCTAACCAATGCCTACATGATACTCAAAAACAAAGGACTACATTCAGACCATTAATTTAAAAAATTTTGAGTAAAATAAGTAAATGAATTACTGTATAATTCAGCTATGTATGAAAACTTTTTTCGGTATTTAATGCTTATTTTATACTTTAAATTGAGTTAAATATATATTTATATATATTTGTTATTAGGCAAATATTTTTGAGAAAATTGATAAGAGTTGTATTGAAGTTATAATTAGGGATTTAAATAAAACATTTAGGAAACGAATAGTTTTTTTTGTTTCCTAACTGTCCATGTTTAAAAACTTTTGCTAGCCAAAGCTTAACTATTTTTTAATGTATTGGTTTTATATCTTATTAAAATATGAGCTGTATAAACTTCTGTTTAGTTTTATAATTTTGATAAACTTTATTTGTTTATTTATTTTTCCTAGATGTTTTCACTGTACTAACATGACCAGCGGTGACAAATGTGAAGAATGTATATCAGGCCATTTCAGAGGCGTGGAAGACCTGAGGGCCCATTGCAGACCTTGCCAATGCCATGGCCATGGAGACACCTGTGATCCTGTAACTGGGGAAAAGTAATTTATCTCAATTAAGGAATTCACTCAAAGCATTCAATTAAACAAACAAAACACTTAAATTAATTCATCTGTTTATTTTTATTTAGATGTAACTGTGGCAACAATACAGAAAGTGATTCCTCTTGTTCTGGCAAAGGAGAAGCTCAGTGTTGGGCTCTTCAGTGTTCCAAATGTAGGGAAAGTTTTCTCGGTACCCCAACTGGAGGACATCAGTGCTATAGGGGGATGAGCGTTGACTTGAAGTTTTGCTTGGATGCCAAGTTAATTGAAGAGTGCAAACTGAAACCTAAACCATTAGCACCTGGCCAAACGGTACGTACCTACCTCTAATTCCTTAATTTGTATCTTATCTTATCTTAATTGTATCTCATATTAAATTTATTGAATTATTGAAGGAAGCTAGTCGACTGTTCTCCATATTATGGGTGATAAATAGTCAGGACGCAGTCATTATAAATTTTTTTTTTATTTGTGCCAATGTTTCAACCCAAACATGTGGGTCATCATCACGGCTGAAAATTTTAAAATACAATCTCAGATAATATTATAGGACCGATAATGGTAAATAATAAACTGTTGTGATTGATGGTTCATGAATCTTAATTATTATTACAATACACAACATTAAAAATGCAATATGTAAAAAGTTATACAAACTAAAAATAATATATATAATCTATTTATAAAAATTTATAATATTTTCTCTTACTAACTGTGGTTGGAGCACTGAAGGCTTTCAAGTACTGACACATTTGTTAGGTAAGTGAAAAGGTCAGGGGAGGATTTCCCAGTTGTCCTTTTTCAGATAGCAAAAGGTAGGAAAACATAGTTAGAGGGGAAGGGAGGTAACATTTCTGTTTGTAGAATGTTAATAATTTGCTGACTAAATATTTAAGATGTGTACAAGATTTGCGTTGTTTCTTATGGTTACAGAATTGTGAATATTGGCTAATAATGAAATGAACATATGCAAGAGGCGCCAATCAATATAAATATAACATAGTTTTATTAAAGGTATACAATGGTTAGCCAAATAATATTTATAATAAAGACAATTGTAATGGATTGATTCTATTCTACCCAAATTTCCCAATGATATTTTTTTCATTAAAAAATATTTTGATGACATTTTATTAATCCTCAACCCCCTCGCTATTCCAAACATACTTTCTGCATTCAACTCATACAACCCTCGACTCTGTTTTACCATTGAAATAGAATCAAACAATTCCCTCCCATTTCTTGATCTCATTTCCAGAAATAATGATAATACCTTATCCACCAATTGGTACTCCAAACCTAGCTACTCCGTCCCTCTCCTAAACTATTTTTCCCAACACCCTTACCACCAAAAAATCAGTGTAGCTAAAAGCCCGATACACCGCAGTCTAACATTAACTGACCCACAATTCCATGACAATAACCTAACCAAACTTTACAAGATCCTGGAATCCAACGCCTTTCCTGATCACACTATAAAAACCCTAATAATCAATCCAAACCTCATCTTCACCAGTCTTCCACAAACTGCTCTCAATCTCTCACTATGATTTGCCAATACAGATCCGTTCCATACATCCCAGTCCTATCTCAAAAAATAAAAAAAACTTTAACTTCAAAATTCCCCCATCTACAAATAGTTTTCAAAAATAACAGTAAATTAAGAAATCTATACATCTGACTTAAAGATCCTGTTCCACCCCTACAGCAATCAAATATTGTATACCATATCACATGCTCTAGCCTAAACATCAATTCTTCTTATATAGGAGAAAAGCAAAACTATTTAAAAAAATGAATATATCAACACAAATACAGTATCTCCACACGAAACCCGTTTGCCTCGAAACTTGCCGAACACGCCACTTGACAACCACACATTTGATTTTGAAAACCCAACCATACTTGCCACAATTCCCAATCACCAAAAACGACTACTTTCTAAAGCTATGTTCATAAATTTGGAAAAAAATAACCTGATAACCACAAAGTAGACAAGGAAAAGATCTGCCACACATATTTGAATATTTTCCGCCTCCTAAAACAACAGTCTATAATCATTAAAATTTTATTTTTCATTTTCTCCATTTCCCCATCAAACTACATAGGTAACTACTCCAATGTAATATATATATATATATATATATACACACATACATACATACACATAATGTCCATTCTCAATATAAATATATACTATAAACAGAAACAGATATGTTTATACTTATACTATTAAAACTATGTAATCCTTAATATAATACATACTTCTATTATGATTAATATTGTTATTTTTAAAATACGGTATAATATATTGTCATACATATCTTTTTAATCCATTACAATTGTCTTTATTATAAATATTATTTGGCTAACCATTCACTGTATACCTTTAATAAAACTATGTTATATTTATATTGATTGGCGCCTCTTGCATATGTTCATTTCATTATTAGCCAATATTCACAATTCTGTAACCATAAGAAACAACGCAAATCTTGTACACATCTTAAATATTTAGTGAGCAAATTATATACATTCTACTAACAGGAATGTTACCTACCTCCCTCCCCTGACCTTTTCACTTATCTAACAAATGTGTCAGTACTTGAAAGCCTTCAGTGCTCGAACCACGGTTAGCAAGGGAAAATATTACAAATTTTTATAAATAGATTATATATATTATTTTTATTGAATATTTGATAGTTGACCGTTGCATTATAAAGGAAGGAGATGGTCCGGGGTGGCGGTCATAAATAGGCTACATAGTGACAAAACTATTTTATTGAAAGCCGACGTTTCAACCCGACTTTGCAGGTCTTCTTCAGGGCTAGAACGGACAAGATACTAAAAGATAGAAAATTGTGGAGAGATATCTATGTCTCCTGTAGATCTGTAGAAGTATATTCACATTTGCATTTATTATATATAACACTACAACAATTGTTAGCATCTATTTACTTCAGTTTAGGATCATGTTACTTAGTTCATATTTTAATGTACTTGCTGTTTATAATTTTAATAAGTTTATTCGCATTGTTTATAACTTTTGTCTAAATATTATGTAACTGCCACAATTCTCTATCTTTTTGTATCTTATCCGTTCTAGCCCTGAAGAAGACCTGTGAAGTCGGGTTGAAACGTCGGCTTTCAATAAAATAGTTTTACCACTATTTATGTACACCCCGGACCATCTCCTTCCTTTATATTATTTTTAGTTTGTATTATTTTTTACATATTTTATTTTTAATATGTGTATTGTTTTATTAGTTAAGATTCATGTACCATCAATCACTATAGTTTATTATTTACCATTATCGGTCGTTTAATATTATTTCTCTGATTGTATTTTAAAATTTTCAGCCCTGAAGATGACCCACATGTTTGGGTTGAAACGTTGGTACAAATAAAAAAAAAATTATAATGATTTCTTCCTGACTATTTATCATCCATGGTATTAAATTTATGTATTTTTAAACAAAAGTATATAATTATTTATTTATATGATGATACAATTTATACTTTGTACACCCATGGCTCTACCTGATGATCCCTACACGTGGCTAACAATTATTATACTATGAGTCATTAAAAGCTTACAACTTGGATTCTCAGTGTTTGATTAAAGAATTTTTTTTTTAATCTTGATTTAATCTTAAATCTTGTATCTTTATATTTGACAGTTTGTTGAACTCTTCCCAAATTAGATAAATAATGTCCATTTGGAATTAGTGTCAATAGGTTTAGGGTGTTTGCAAATGGCAGCACGGCAGAGGGTGTTATCAGGTTACAATAGATCACACAGGTTACAAATGGCAGCACGGCGGGGGGTGTTATCAGGTTACAATAGGTCACACAGGTCATGTTCGATATGATATGATATGATATGTTATCAGGTTACAACAGGTCATGTACGATATGATATGATATGTTATCAGGTTACAATAGGTCACACAGGTCATGTACGATATGATATGATATGATATGTTATCAGGTTACAATAGGTCACACAGGTCATGTACGATATGATATGATATGCTGCAATTGTTATATATTGGCACATTTTAGTGTTTCATGAGACATGGATCCATCCAACAAATGGAAACAGGCTCCTGGTTACCGTTTATCATCTTCATCAAGGCTGATTCTTTATCATGCATGATGTTCTTCAGGCTTAAGTTATTGTTGCCTATGTAATTTTAAGTGGTGGATTTATTTTTCCATTCCATTGTAATAATATTTATAATTAATAAGAAAAAACTCTGTTTTGTACAAATTTAAGTAGCACTTAATACAAAGGGACATACATACATTAGGGAACTGAATTAACCTGTAATAACTGTTATTAATCTTTAACATGTGGAAATACATATTATTTATCATCCAGGTTGGAATTTTGTCTCTGCCTGCCTGGGATCCAAAACTCCTATGGCTTATCTGGACTGCACAGAATAAATAAATAATAAATTTAAAAAGTTTTCTTCTTTCAGAAAATAAAACAAAAACGTTAAGATGTATAAGTAATACTTCCTTAAATTAATATGTATATGTTAATTTACAATGATATTCAGTCCTTAACACCTCTTCTTCTATCATTACATGATTTTTGACTTTTCGATTGTATTATGTAAGTTTACAAGTCTGTAATATCTTTGAAAATGAATAACTGCAGTATATACTATTATAAAAAATTGGATTCACCCAGGTAAGTCATGTCGACTCCTTAAGAGCTTTAGCGACCTTTCATACATCCATGATATTGCATTCGTTAGGAGAAAGAATGAAAAAGTATTTAACCAATGAGCAAGCTACGGATGGAACCTCGTATTGCAATCGATATAACAAAGTTTCGTTTACAAGCATTCTGAAACATAGACCAGTTGCCCAAGGTACAGTGCTTTACTCCCGCAGCCAGGAAACCATGAAAATAATTTCTACTCCTATTGTTCTATTATTTATCTGTAGAGGTGTGTTGATAAGTTAATATTTGTATTACTTATGTATTTTTATTTTTTCAGGTATTCTTTGTTGTTCAACCGAGATTTATGAACGTCGACATCAGGATAACAATTGATATTACGCAGGGGGCCCTTGATATGTACATTAGCCCAAAGGACGATACCTTTGTAGTCGAAACGAATAGCTCTACTGGTCATCATCTTATCAAACTAGATCCTAAGTAAATTCATTTTTAAACAGATTTAAAGAGCTAAGTATAGGTGTGAATGTGTTTTATCTATTTTAATTTCATTTAGTTTCTCCCTAACATTTTTTTTTTTTTACATATGTATGTTAATTTTATTATTTTACTTTCACAACTCTTTTTCTTTTATCTCTATTTTAGTTATCATTTGTATGTATATATAGTGTGAATGTTTAATGTAGACCTAATATTAATGCCCTCCAATGTGTTAGAATGTATTATTTTTATTATTCAACTAATAATAATAAAAAAAAATTGAGCTAAGTAGAACTTTCCAAAAAATGTTAATGTGAGAAAAATTGAATTTACTAGTTTTTATTGCCCTTTATGGATGGCTCATCTAAAAAAAACTGATTTAAGTAGATTATTCTTGTCCTGCTTAATGAACTTGATCTTTCTTGAGTGATTCAGTGAATAAGGGCAGTCAAAAATCATTGTATTCAATTTTTAGCTTTAAATTTTTGCAACATAGCGTGTACTTTCCCTGGACTAATCATAATACATACTATAATGAACTATTTATGTTTTGCCCAGAGAAATGGTTGTTTTGAAAGAATTAAACTTGACAAAATTTTAAGTAGAATAAACTGTCTACAAAAAACCAATTTAAAGAAAAAATAAACTATCTAAAAATGATCAATTTATAGTAGAACCAACGATACAATTTCCTGTAAATAAAGATGTAATTTTATTATTTAGAATTATTACTCTAAGTTGCAAATTTAAGGTTCACATACAGTTAATATAAATTAGCTTTTGTTTTAAGAATACTTGCACATCTTTTATTAACTAGCTGCATGTAAGTTAATAAAATGATAAATTGTTGTATTTTATCAAATGTTAAAGTTGGAGCAGAGTACTATCAAAGAAATTCTTACTACCAAATCCCATAATTTTTTTTATTTGGAAGGAATTGTAGATATTGCTTTTTTCACAGAAACAATCTCTCTAATATTTAAAAAAGTTTTTAGTGACTGTATCCAATTTTATTTTACACATACAAAGCGGGACTATAACAAAGACATTAGCAGGACGGACCGTAACAAAGATAGCAGTGGGACAGACTGTAACCAAGACACCACACTTCTTATTCTCAAAATTATTTCTCTCCTATTATGGTTACAAATTGGCAATAACAATAATTATTACTATTTAATAATTTAAATTGGCAATAAGGTGGCAATATTAATGTATAATATTAATTTTTAAAGAAATTAAAAATTTGTTCGAACTGTGTGTAAGGGGTTTCAAGATAAATTAATCACTTTGACACAGTACACCATGAGAACTAAGAATTTATTGTTGCAACAAATTAAATACAATAATACGGTATACAAAAAAAAAATGACTGTTTTGTCAAATTCAAGATTTCAAAGAGCTGTAAATATTTTAATCCTATTTAATACTTACTAATCCCTTTAGAGCATTCTCTAAGCTTGTCTGATCCCATTCGACATCTTAAAAAAAAAGCCTCAGGTTAGTTATTTGTTACAAAGAAGAAACATGACAGTGTCCTACAAAATTCTCATAATTTTAAGGTGTTAAGGAAAAAAAATTACAGCTGCTGAAGCAACTCGTGAAACTATTAAATATGAAGGGGAAGATGTCCTTGACCAGCGCACTGTGTGGTGTTGGTTTGAAAAATTTAACAGTGGAGATACGACATTGGAAAGGAAGAAGGTTTCCGAGTGACCATTAATGGATACTGATGAGGTTTTGCAGGAAGCTGTTGCCAAATCCAACAAAGTGTTGCCATGAGACGTGATTCATTCTCAGGCGCTCCCCGACACTGTGGTTTCTTTCCATTTATAAAAAATAACATAATCTGAATTACAGAATACATGTAAATTACAATTATACAATTTGATTAACGGGTAGTAGAATTAAATGAACAGTTGTATGATTTGTAAAATCGGGGTTGGTGTAGGATAGGGATAGAGTTTAAAAAAACAAAAAAAAAACATTTAAATTAAAAAAAAAACCCTGACCAATTAGAAATTGGGAAATCCTATCCACACTAACAGAATGTACTTTGATATCTACTTAAACACCTCGGTTGGTAGACTGATAGGGAGCGAAATTCATGTCTACAAATATTTAAACTTGGTGTAGTAGTTGGGTGGGTGCCCACCACACTCTGAACGAAATCTATTTGCCAGGAGCTAATATGAAGTGAAAAATACCCGATTACTACACCAAATTTAAAAATACGTAGATATCAAGTTTCCTAATAATCTACCAAGATGTTTAAGTGGATATGAACGTATATTCCCTTAGGGTGGATAGGATTTCCTGATGTCTGCAGTCAGTTTTTTTTTTTTCTTTAATCTTATTAGTGTTTTGAGTATTTACAATTTATATTCAAATCAAGATCTTGCATATAATATGATAATACATCATCGTATAATTCAGTGTTTTAAACTCAAATTGTTTCAAAACTCTCTGGTGAGACAGCGGAGAAAACTTTCCATCTAACTTAAAAATCAATCCAGCTGTTGGTTAGAAAAATCATTACATAGCTTTTAGCTGACGACCTTCGTGTCACTTCATCTAGTCGGGTAAAAATAAACATCAATATTTAGCACTTTTCTAATAGTATAAAGTTAAACCTGACCATAGTTTCGTGTTTTACCTTGAATTTCCTCATTAGGAATTAATAAGTTAATGATTAATATAGAAAATTCAAATGGTGAAAAGAGGAAATCACTTTAAATTAAAATAATAATTATGTCATCAATTTTTGAAAATGTTTCCTTGACTTGAACTTTCCAACTTGGAGTCCCAAGGAACACTCTTTAAGAATTGTACATTTCCATAGTTTGGTAATTTGGGGGATCATCACAACCCTAATTTTGAAAAGCAAGGATTATAAAAGTAGTTGAAGATAGGGATGGTTGGGGTGATCAGTCAAAAAAAAATAGCAAAAATAAATAATAGTATTTATTTTTACATTTGCCGATGTTTTGACCCGAAGTTCAGGCCTTCATTAAGGCTAAGGAAAGAACCAGATAACAATGGGTATGGGAAAATATAAACATTGAATAATAAAGAATTGAATTTAAAAACAGTGAAAGGTATAGACTAAAAAATGTAGGTAGAAAAAACTTAAAATAAAACGAAGTAAATAGAGTGAACATTAAAGTCAAATAAAGTAGGTAGAATAATAACATAAACATAATCAAAATAAGGTAACATAAGAAATGAAAAATAGTAATCTTAGAATAAAATGTAAAACAGAAAAAATATGAAGTTATATAAGGAAGTAATAGATATAAATAGAAAATTAAGATATTGTAAAATCTATAAAAAATACTGAAGATGAATGAGAAAATGTATCAATATATAAAAAATAGAGACGGAAATATGGAAAATAGAGTGACAGGAAGGAGGAAAAAAAAGGAGAAAACTAAGATAAGAAAAATACTCTCTATTTTGTATAAATTATTTCAACGTCATCTAGGAGTTTCACTTAGAACGGCAGTTGAACACACCTCCCTGATGAAGACCTGCAAAGTCGGGTGGAAACGTCGGCTTTCAATAAAATAGTTTTACCACTATTTAGCCTATTTATGACCGCAACCCCGGACCATCTCCTTCCTTTATAATGCAACGGTCAACCATTAAATATTCAAAAGATATTTATTTTTCGATTGCAGTGAAAATTTCCTTAATATTTAAAAATATATTTAACAGTTTTAATATCTACTGAGTTTTACGGATGCAAAAAATGAATTCATATTTTTTTATCATAAAAAAATATATTTCATGGTGTGTATTATATGTACAATACAGGCTTTATTCCTATTTTCGTTTTGAAGCTCGATAAAAGACTATATTTTGTGCTTACAATATTACTTTTGATTCCCATCCAGTTTAGAAAAAAATATATTTGGCATACAGATATAGTATGTGTTAAATATTCAAACAAATAGAACTGATCTAAGATATAAAGTGGTTTCAAATATTTTTTTAAGCAGAAATGAAGTATAGAAAAATAAAAAAAATTTGCCTCAAGTCTTAAATTTGTTTAAAAATTACAAAAGTTGTGATAACTTCGAGATAGCTTTACATATTCACACGAAAATTAACATGAATTTGGGGGCATATAATATACACAAAATGGCACAAGCCATAATCCACAAATGAATTAGGCTTCGGGATAAAAAATAAAAATTTTTAGGGAGTTTTTATTTATTTATTCCTTATAAGGAATCTAGAAATCTAAAGTTATCGATATAGTTTTGTAGAACAATAATTTAGCTTTCCAACGATTGTAGCAACGTTGACTATGGAGTTATGAATATTTTAGTAAACGTCATGGAAAAAAATGCTCCCATAAAATTACCTCCAAAAATTTAAATTTTTTTATTTCAAAACAAATTTGTATTTAAAAGTTTTAGTGCGCCCTAAAAACGAATCTGTATCGTTTTTTTCATGAAAAAAAAAAATTTACTAGAAGCATCTATGAGTTTTTGTAATTTATTATACCTTATAATTTGTTTAGTACAATTAGCAATATGTTTTTCTTATTTTACACAATAAAACAAATCTATTGATATATAAGAACTTATAAATCCATGGGGAGCAAAATTAGAAAACAGTAACATAAAAAAATAATAAAATTTTATAAAACTTTTTTTCTCGGCTTCTAGGGTGCACTGGCAAGAATGGGTCTAATATTTTCGACCTAGTATCACCAAATAAAGTTTCATAGAAACCAGTGACCCCACGCCCATAACCTTCCCTTGTAAGACAAGGAGATGTACTATAGTGCCAACTTTTTTAGCTAATTCTGGAACATGTGATTTGCCAAACAGGTATTCATCGAACTGGTAAAATATTCCATAAGTCGACCCAGATACTGGCCTATGCAGATGATGTTGACATCATAGGAAGGTCCTTCAATGAATTGAAACATTTATTCCTTATTCCTTAACCTAGTCAGAGCTGCTGAAGAAGGTGAGATTAGTAATTAATGAGGCCAAAACAAAATTCATGCTCGCAGGAGGACCAGTAGAACAAACTGACTTTGTGGATATAGGAGGCTTTAATATTGAAAGAGTGTGCTTCTTTACCATTGTCACGAGTGATATCGATGTCTAGGAAAGTGGCCCTCTACAAGATGCTAATCCGGCCTGTTCCCATATACGGTTCATGAAGCCCAAATGACAGATACAAAAATATCCAGAAGCGTGACAGAGAAAAAGATCCTACAAAAAGAGTAGGACGCCTGAAGATGCCATGCCTGAATGGAATAAGTGGGGGCTCCAGAAATGTGTCTGCTAAATACCTAGTACTGGAAGGCTGCCGCACTGGACAGGGAAGACTGAAAGCGGATCGAGGAGGCCACGTTGATGGGTCGTTGCACCTGAAAAGAAGAAGAACGTTTTTTGAGCTGGTTCAAATAAAATATATAATTTTTTTTATGGAACTTGACCTTCCCACTCTGATTAGAATAGGTTTGGTTGAAGCTCTAGAACAACTCCTCCCCCTATCCCCTCACATGGGAAGGGAGTAATCCGATAAAACAAAAAGAAAGGTTCGAATTATCTGTAAGATCCTATAACTATTTTGAAAGAATGTTAGCTCAAAACACTGACAAATTATAGTTATGTTATATAGTACAATGTGACTAATCTGTCCATTAAAAGGTCTCTCTAATGATTTTTTGAGCAAACAGCTGGACCAATGTTTAAGTTTGATGACTCATATCATTCAGTAAGATCCCTTGAATGTTTTAAAACAATTTAGGATTCAAACACTAACAAATTGTTATATAAAATGTGTTTATAAGAAGGAGTTGGGGGGGGGGGTGTTCAAATAAATACTAAGTTGTTAAAATTTTATTTATTTGACCGTACCCCCTTCTCCTCTCCCCTACCCTGCCCGACCTACTCCTCATATTATATCACTGTCAACCATCTCTACTCAATTATAAAATGTATTTAATTTAATATTTTTAACAATCATGTACTATATAATCTAAATTTTATAACTCCAATAATTGTTTTCTTTTCTTTTTTGTTTCAGGTACAGAAATAGCTCTGAAATGCCAATCGACTTTGAAGCTGGTATGAACATCAGCTCGCCATGGTCAACATTAAGCCACACTAGGGTGGATTCTGTTATCGAAAAACACGCTAAAGGCCTAGCGTCTTATATCACCCTCGCTAGTAAGTCTTCTGTTTTGATTGTTCGCAATCTGACTGACAGGCTGGTCATTACCCTACCACAAGACAAGCATGAACTGGGATCTACTCGATTCTTCATAGCTCTCATTGCCACCTCACGTCCAGCATATGGAACTATATTTTTTCGACAAGATCAACTCCATATCGATCTTTTTGTTTTCTTTTCTGTTTTCTTCTCATGTTTTTTTCTATTTCTGGCTGTATGTGTTGTTGCCTGGAAGGCAAAGCAGGCAGCAGACATGAGACGCGCGAGAAGACGTCATGTTGTAGAGATGCTGCATATGGCCAAAAGACCATTCGCCAAGGTGACGCTGATGCTGGGCGACGGCGGACAACCCAGACCTATAGCGATGGAGCCGACTGATGATGGGCTAGCAGCCGTCGGTACTGTCCTTGTTCACCTCCCAGGAGAGCGGGCCGCTCCCGTTCAGCTCGCCATTGGCTCCTCTCTCATTCTCCTTGCTCGGGTTTATCCCAATAATAGCCGACCTTTTCTCAGGAGGAGAAGTATTCATACGTAGAACATATCTTACACCCTTCGCTACAATAGTTTATATTGATTTCATTTTTGTATAACTGACTAGTCCTTTCTTTATATATATTTAATAACTTTCTTATTTTTCTCTCTATAATTATCAGTATTATAAAGTGCACAAAGCTAAATATGACTTTATTTTATATATTTTATTTTATGGTGCTTCTTTTTTTTTTAAGTTACTCATTGTCTGGGTTTTATACATACATTTGTATCATTTCTTTGTAAATATGTAAAATATCTTACATACTTGTGATATTTGTTACATGGAACCATTAACTTGGATAGAGGTCAAATTTTTTTATTATTTTTTATAACTATTAATTTGACCTTGCACATAATAACTCCATTAAATCTGATATAAATCATAAATCCTTTTCTAAATGCTCTGAGTTGTGAATTTACTACATGAAATTGTCATGAATGAAAATTGAACCTTATTCTTATTTACACGTTCTATATTCTGTCTATTATCTGTAATAATGTACAGATTAAGTTTGATTTTTGTAATTAACTATAGGTCATATTGTCAGCACGGTGTTAAAGTAACGAATGCGCAACGTTAAAAAGGCTCATATTTGTTACTTTAACATGGTGCCGACGTTATAAAATGATGTCATTTTAGAACAAATAGTATCTATCTAAAGATAAACACATAATTGATTCATTCAAATTTTGTATTGCAGATATTTTGGTTAGCAATCTCTTGATAAATAGCATTGTAATTTTTTTTTTGTGTATAGTCACATAATTGAACAGTCTCTTATTGGGTATTGTTTTACCTGCTATTTAATTGTTTAATTCATAAATATGTTTATGGTAAATTTTATTACTATAAATATAAATATTTTAATTTACATTAAGACTTATTATTCTTATATATACTTATATCTTATAATTAGGTATACTAATTAATTTCACCTCAGTGAAAACTATCATGATATTTTCTGGTGCAATACATATTTTTAACTATTAATTTAGATAGTTTTATTTTTTCAACATATATACATTTAGAATACTTTAAAATGAATAGTAGTTTCTTTGAATTTGCCATCGTCTTTCAACAAAGAAAATCAAATCGCCCTTTTTATTAAAAGAGACTGTATTATTGTAAGGTTGAATTATCTTATTAACATTGATATTAAATTTTCCAACGACACTAACTCTCTTAGACAGACTTCAAGTTACCTACTTCAAAGAGTGTTACAAAACATTTACCCCTTCCCCATTTTATTTTATTCACATTTCTTAATTCAAATTTTTATTTTAATACATTTTTTATCTTCTCATGATGTATAATAAACTTTTAATGCAGCAGTCTCTTTTATTACATATTCAAGTTTAAACTTTAATTGTGCAAACATCAGTAAAAATATGTACGTCTAAAGATATTCCTTATAAGATTGAAATATTATAATTCATGTCTTCTTATTTGTGATTTTTTAATAATAGTATCCATATTTTTTAAAAGAAACATTTTATAACCAAGGGTCACTTCAAAATAAATTGTATTTATATGAAGTGAATTTTTTTTTTTTTTTTATATTTTAGTTGTAAATACTTGAGGTTTTTGAATTGTCCTCAAATGAAAGAAATGACCCAACTTGTGTGTTCCACCTTTCCTGTGATATACACGTTGTAGTTGCCAAATTTATTTACTATGTTGTTACTATGGAAACCACTCAATCATGTATGTTATACATACATATACAGTAATTACTATTTAGTCTTAAGGAAACTTTTGACATTCCATTTTAATACTCCAAATATATCTTATCTTCAATCCTTCAGTATGTTGTGTTATAGATTAATTATTTTTGTAATTTTTTATGTTTATATTTAAAATGTTTATAATTGTTATTTTTAAAAACCTTATTTAATGAAAATAAGTTGTTTTACTGTATTTCATATTATGGTTGTAAATTATTTCCTCCTATTTACTTTTAAAATCATTTTAATTAGTACTTAAAATGTTTGGGTAAAAATGACAATAGAATATATGTGCCAATTCCATTAGGGCTATTATTGCTATATAAATAAAAATATTTATTGGGTATAGTGTAAATATGTATTTTATATTGGAAAATTTATATTTCTTAATTCTATATTGTATTTATGAGCTAAATTATGACTGTAAACTAACAGATCTGATTATAGTATATTGTAGATTAATCAAAAGGCACTCAAATAGAATTATAATCACTTTCCATGTTAAATGGTTCAGGAGTTCAGGATGGAGTAAATTTAAAACAGGCTAAATATTTTGCTATTCTCAGATATAATTGATTATATTCTCACATTGTAAGAAAAATAATATAAACTCTAAACGAGTTCAGTAAATTTTATTAAAGTTTTGTTGTCTATTTTTGAATTCCCATTATATTGTAATGAAGTTTTTCTCATGGCACATGTAATGTTCTTTTAATGTAAAATTTATTTTAACTCCTACTACTTTAGTATACTCAGTTTGCATAGCTGTAATTTACACCTAATAAAAAATTTAAAAAGACGAATGTACTTATAAATACTGTTCTTTATATTATAAGAGAAAATTTTAATCAAAGAGTTGAGATTTAAAAAGATAATAATAATAAATCATTAAATTAATTTATCTTTTACATTAAAATTCTGCATTTTATTTCATTTAGAATTTATTGTTGATAGATAACCACACTGTGAAAGCCTATTCATCGATATGAAGAAATAAACCAAATATCTGTCATTTTATAAACTAAGTTTTCCATCCAATTTTATAGAGCATCCTTAAGAAGACAATGACGCAATTGTGTAAATAACATTTTTGGTTTGTATTTCTGAATATGGCATATGGCCAATCTTGACCAGAAAATTCCAGAACCATACTTGCTAGTTGTATTATACTTAAAAATTGTACTTAGCAGTGTGGCTATTATTAATGTGTGTGTATGTATGTATATATATATATATATATATATATATAATATATATATATATATATATATATATATAATTTAATTTCATTGGTATTAAAAAATTACCAAAATATCATTTGCATTAATGATGTATTCCAGTACATAATACAATAAATAATTATTAACTGTTGTAAGTGCTAAATTAAGGTATTCCTTATCATTTTTTTCTGCTTAATATTGACCCATATATCCTTGAAATTTATTCATTGTGTAGTGCAATATTTAAAAAAAAAAAATACATTGAATGAAATATTTTTCTCATATCCAGAAAAAGATATTCAACATAAAAATTGTCGTTATTTGATTAAAATTAAACTGGTCTATATGTATCTTTCATATATCACAAAACCTTGTATATAATGAATGTCTTATGTAAAAACGAAAAATATGTATCATGTCCATGTTAGTATTGTATAAAGTATTGCCATGTATATTATAAAATGTAAATCATGATTGTAAACAGTATTAAAGTTACTTGTAATAAAGCTTAATGTTTTTACAAATCTGACAATAATTTTTATAAGAAGCCCTTTCTCTAGAGATTAAATATATAATAGATATAAGTAAAATATCTGATGAAATAAAACAAACTGAAAATTTTTAAAAATTATTTTTTACTAACATTTGTGCAGGATCACACTCTGCGTCTGCTTTGTACCAAAATTTTTAAATTATCTAGATCAAGTACACCTCTCGAAACTGAGCGACAAAGTTATGAATTTTGACCAATGAGATGTCAAAAGTAAGAAATGGAATCTGATAAAAAAATGATAAATTCCAATTAGAAAGGTGTTGACCTAATTTATAAATGTTGGCATTCGATAGAATAAAAAATAATAGAGATAAATTGTGATCTTGTACAATTTTAATGCTATTCATTTTCTTTCGGAGAATTTGTAATTTGCAGATTTATATTTAACTGTTACTGAATTTTGACAAATGAGGTTAAAATCTTCAATTTTTAACTGTAGTTTTCGATTATACTGCTTAGCTGTTTTATTAAGTAATAATACTCATTGGAGACAGAATTTAACTTTCTTTAATATGTTAAAAAATATTACTCCTATAAAAGATATTTTAGAAAAGGACCTGAAATCTAACTGTTTTTAGGTAATCCATCATTTAAGGATTTGTAGCCGACACGAACTCACCTTAATTGTAGCACTCGAATGGCCCCCATTACATATGAGAGTTCTTGGCAAGCAGATTTTGTCCAAGTATCAGTTCAGGTCAACGACTCTGAGGGTTTTGTTCAAAGGCAAAGAGCTTGTTGTGGAAGGTATCTTACTACTACACCAAGTTTAAATATTTGTTGACATTTATTTCCCATTGTTTTTATAAATTAAATAATTGTTTACTTGTGCTTACCTACATATGGAATATATAGTCTGAGAATGTATTGCGATTTTGGAAATTTTGAATCCGAGTTATCAATGGAAATATACATTTTGAGGTCCCCTGTGTCCAAACAACCAAGTCTCGCATAATGATATGGAGTAGCAAAAGATCTTAAACACATCTAATTTGGCGCTATATAACCTAGTTTTTTCATTTACATCTTATGTAGGTTTTTATGTGATTTTTCCTACTGTAAAAAATTAATTTCAATTTTCTAAGTAGCATTCAAACCACCATTATGTCATGTGTAAGGTTAATGCAACCATAAACATGTAGCTTATCAGTATGACATGTTGTAATGTATATAATAAAAAATAAATAAATAAATAAATAAATAAAAAAAATATATACCTATATTAGCATAAAAATTGAAGCCCCCAACTTCTTGGCAGATTTATTAAGCTTTTACCATTAAAACTCATCTTTGGAATTGCTTGAAAACAGATTATGATATATTTTAAAACCCCCAAAACATATTTTACAAATTTTAAAGTTATAGTAGAAATTTTGAATGTTGGTGAGTGTTGTGAGTTAGCCTTATTCATTCAAGTGTGCATAGAATTGCTAGTTAGAAAACAGCAAACATGTAAGTACACAACCATTCCATGGTTTTTTGTTACTATTTTAAATTTCAAAT